TTCACTGTCAAGAATAACCTCACGAATGTTCTTGAAGTTTTCGTCATAATCAACCAGAGCGGCGAAGAGTTTGTAAACCATGCCTCTACCGAGACGGTGAGCGTCACCATCCTCAGCAATATCATGCAGTCGGTCAATGCTCCTCTTGACAAGGTAGGAAACTCGTTTCCACTCCGCCTCAGCAGCAGCACAATCAAATAGTCGGACAGTGCAAGTTGCGTGATCAGCGGTCTTCTTCCCTTCTGCAGTGACTGAATAGATCTGAAGGGTTGTCTTCTTCTCCGCCCAATCCGCTGTCGCAGATACTCTAAAGAGCTGCTGTCCACCTTTCGCAATCAATGGCCGTGGCACTGTAACCTCACAGACATCCAGTCCAAGTCCATCGTACTCAGGCTTATACTTCTTGATGAGGTACTCTGCAAGCGTCTGAGATATGTCGGCATACAGTGACTATGTCTTGGTTAGTGCGATGTTAACGCGGTAGTTCGTGCAAGGGCAACAACTTACTGAGGGACACAAAGCAGCGCCGTTGACCTTGTGGCCTTGAATGACGCGGTTAAGGTCAGGATCAGCAATGTCGTTTTCTATTACAACTGTGGCTGTTGTTCCATCACCTCGAGTCTCAATGACCTTCTGAGCCGCGGTTGTCAGGAACTCATGCTGTGGCCCTGCAGCCACTGCCGCTACTGGAGCGCCCTTACTCAGGCAGAAGTTGTTGGTATAGGGAATCCAGTAGTTCTTGAGATCCCACTTGTAGCCTGGGAGGCGGAGGACCTGGAGAGAGGAGGTAAAGTCCTGGTGATATTGCTTCCAATTGATGTCAATACCCGCCAGATGAAGGCTCGCAAGACTGTTTGAAAGGACCTTCCAGGTATCTTCTTCGCGGCGTAGAGATGCAGCCGTTGTGACTTGCGGTCCAAGTGTTGCCTTGATCATTCCAGAGCAAATGGTATGTGAGCCAATCTCAACCCACAGAGTCTTGTCGTTGGTCAGCTTCACATGCCTTGTAGCTTCCACACCGCCAAGGAAGTTGACTGTCTTTCTGCAATGATCGCGCAGGTACCTGGGGCCGAGACACTCCCAGTTGGCGTCAGTGATCACTTCTCCGAACAGGGCTGAGACAAAAGGTGTTGTCGGCTTGTGGAAGGTGACACCCTGAGCAATATTCTCAAATGAATCCAAGATAGGGTCCACTTGAGAGGAATGGAAGGCATAAGGGACACGGAGCTTGGTTGACTTCAAACCCTCTGTGGAGCATTTCTGAGCCAGCTCATCAATATCAGCGACAAGACCGCTGACGACAGTCTCTGCTGGCGCGTTAATGCAAGAGACTTCGTGGAGCTCATCTCTAAGGAACTGTTTAACCTCTGCCAGAGACGCCTTGATGGCCAGCATCGAATGTGTCTCAATCTTGCACTCCTTCGTCAGCAACTGAGCACGGCGGCCACACAGATAGATTGTATCGCTGGTGGATAGAACACCGGCCGTGTTAAGGGCTGCATAGTCACCGAGACTGTGTCCGATAATGAAGGCCGGCTTCACACCCAACGCAGTCCAGTAATTGACCAGAGCCATTTGCACACAAGTAGTGCCCACTTGTACCACGACTGGGCTAAGGTCTTCAACGGGTACGCTTCCATCGACGAGAGGCAGGATAGAAGGAAGGCCCTGGCTTCTTGCGATGCAGTCAAAGTGCTCAATGGTGGTGCGGAATTGGAAACAACTGCGGTAGAGCTCCTTGCCCATTCCGGTGTATTGGGCGCCTTGGCCGGTGAAGACGAATCCAATACCAGGTGCCGTTGAGGGTACTGGGGTATAGGTCTCACGTTGCAAAGTACCATGCAGCGAGTCACGCAGGGATTGCAGGTTCGCTCCGACAGCAGTGACACGGAACGGATGGTGGATGCGGCGTGCGGTGGTCGTGTACGCCAGGTTCGGAAGAAATTCGGCTTCTTTCACCCCAAAGGACTTGCCCTGAGCGTCAATAAACTTCACCAGGGCTTCGATGTTGTTCTTCAGTGCAGACTGTGATCTTGCTGACACGGAGACCAAATGGAACGACCGGGGGTCCTGCCCCTGACGTTCCGGTATGGGAGCATCTTCCACTAGAAGGGCAGTGTTACCACCAGCAGCAGAGAAGTTGTTGACAAAGGTTCGCCGCTTTCCGGAAGCTGGACGATTCCATGGAGTGGGCTGGAAGGCGATATGAACATTGCGCTTGGCCAGGTCGGTCGGGAAATTGGAATTGATTTTGGTCTTGATACCGCAATGAGGAGGAATCATGTTTTCTCTCATCATTAGGAGGACCTTGACAAGAGCAGTCACTCCTGATGCGGATTCGCCGTGTCCGATGTTGGCCTTAGCAGAGCCGATATGAAGCGATTGACCGGGACCCCGGCGGTAGTCTGGTGCGAAGACGTCAAGGACAGATTGCATTTCCACTGCATCACCGGCTTGAGTTCCGGTGCCATGCATTTCCACGTAGCTTACTTCCTTGGGGTCGATGTTCGCATCATTGAGCAGCTTGTTGAAGATGAATGCTTGCGCACCAACGTGGGGGCGAGTAATTGACACGGCCTCCGCCGAGTGGTTGGTGTAAGCACCGTTAATGACTGCCAGGATCGGGTCGTTGTCGGCCTCGGCATCTTCGAGCCGCTTCAAAACGATGCTGCCAACTCCGTCCGCTCTACAGTAGCCGTCGGCGCCGTCATCAAAGGTGTTACAGTTGCCAGTGGTAGACAGGAAATGGCCCCGATCCAGACCCGCGTGGTTGTCAGGGTTGGTCAGAATGTTTACACCTCCAGTGATGGCGGCATCGCAGTCATTTCTCCAGATCGAATTGCAGGCCATATGGATAGCAGCTAGACTCGACGAGCACGCTGTGTCAACACTCACACTAGGCCCGCTGAATTTGAAGTAGTAGTTTATCCGACCCGGCGTGAATGCTCGGTTACCGCCAGGAATGAAATAGGTATCAATGTCCTGGCCGCTGTTGATCTCACGATAGTCGTCACTGGTCATTCCGTAGAAAATACCCACGCGGTCCCTCTGTGTCGAAGGAGAGCTATCCGGGATGAAGCCAGCCATCTCGAGAGCCTCGTACGCTGTAAGCAAAGCAAGACGTTGTGCAGGATCTGCTTGGAGGGCTTCCCGGGGCGACATGTTGAAGAATCTGGGGTCAAACAGGCCGGGTTCGTTGATCCAACAACCGTAAGACACTTTGCTTGTGTTTCTCTTTGAGCCGGTCATGTCGACGTGGGCATCAACGTCCCAGCGGTCTGCGGGGACTTTGCGATGTACATCGAGTCCCTTGTACAAGAGGTCCCAGAAGGCCTCCGTACCATCTGACTCAGGAAATCTTCCAGACATACCGATGATAGCAATCTTCGAGTTTTCTGCCTTTCCAGTGAGGTTCCGCGTTTCTGGGTTCATCGCGATCTCTCCTACCCCAGTCTCCAAGCTGACGCTCACACCGGCCTTCTTGAGGACGGTGAACAAACTCTGGGTGGCGCTACTTGAGATCGGAAACAATTTGCAAGAGTGGTTTGTGCCGGTCTTGCAGACTGATGTGCAGGATTCCGTGACCTTGTCCCAGCATAGTCGTCGCAGTAGTATTTCCTCCAGTGCGACCTTAAAGAGATCTTTGAGGGACTTTGCCTTAATCGGCTTTCCGGTGTTACTGGAAATGACGGGAATAGCGGGTGACCAGCTGGTCAGTTCCTCCAGAGCAGAGGATTGCTGCAGGATGCGTTCAATATCCTTATCATCATACAGATGTGGCGCATGGTACGGGCCATGAATCGGAGCCTTCACTGGCTTGTAGTTCTTGGGAATGCAGGTCTCGACGAACTCATCAAGGACCGTAGGTGGTGCACTGACAGTAACACCATTAGAGCTTACCGCGCTGATATACGGCTTCGAAGAAGGTGGGGTAGCCTGCATAGGTCAGCACCCTACAATGCGGGGAATAAGGTACGGGAGATCACACCTTCTTACTGCTATACTCGTCAATCAGGCGGCTAGCCTCTGCTTCGCTGATTCCAGAAACCAACGCTGACCAGCATGTTGACTCGGAATCGGCGGAGGCCACCAGTTCTCGAACTCGGAAAACGCAGATTCCCAGCCGCAGTGCAATTACAATTGCTTCCACTGCAACTGGAATAAGCTCACCAACATTTCTGGCGCAACTTACAGCCGTGCAACTCAAAACACCGGTGCACAGCCCAACAAGATGGCTGTTGGAGGGCGTAGGGTAGTCATGTCCAAGATCCCCATAAAAGCTAAGGGCTGGTCAGAATTGTCAAGTATGATAGGCAACTAAATGACTTACTGAATGAAACAACCCAACTGGTAGATGCATGTCAGCGCACTCTCCAGGACAGGGCTAGGACCTGATTCACGGCTCCTGGAGAGGAGATCCACAATGCTTGTGAAGCGTGGAAAGAGCTTCCGTTGAGACGGCGGGAGCTTCGCGATCTCTTGACGGATCGCATGGAAGCACTGCTGGAAAAAAGACTGGACAATGGTGCTGTTCTTCGCTTGGAGCAGACGGCGCAAGCCAGCTTCAATGTCGCTGGTCTGGTCTCCAAAAAGGTACACACGAGATGGACCCTCCATATTTGCGGGAGATGTCTATTGATCAGTCGTTCGCCGTTGTCAGACCAAAGTCCATCTGGCCTTCCCCATCCGTGTCGAAGAGAAGCACACTTTATACACATGTAGATTTAGGGCCCCCATGGCCAAGTGGGGGAGGGTGTCTCAACTACGGCATGCGCTGAACTGGTTAAGGTGCATTCCACGCGCATCTAGGGGGCGATTGCAAAGAGTTGAACTCAGCAGAGCATCTCAATTGGGTTGCATTGCAATACATGCAGCGAATCGTGATGTTGCACTTAGTTGACAGGCACTAAATTGTTCTGGTGAGCTTCCAGTGTCCTTCAGTTTCCGTTTCTGGGGACTCTTCCCACACTGACAGGGACTGCCTCTGAGTGGACACAACCATGGCGGTGGACCAGGAGCACACCATCTGGGCACTCTGTGGAGTTACCCTGTTTGGAAATTCTAGACTTGGAACTCTGGTCCATCGAGGCCGACATCCTGTGGAGCTACCTCAACCGTCAGGCCACAACGTTTATCAAGGGGATATCGGTGTCTCAACCCCTGCTTCTGGTGGTAATCCAGCAACTAGGCAGCCGTGTTCTGGAAATGCATCAAGGGACGGCGTTGCGATGGCGAGCGGCGGCCGTTTGGCGAGGGGGGAAGGAGTCCTACAGAGGAAAGTCGTCGCCGCCCCATTTGGCGACGATCAGCAGCTTGCAGCGGGCACGTGACGAAGGAAGAAGAAGTCTGGGGTGAAGATTCTCCTAACATCTTTCCTCCCTGGGCATGAGACACAAAATTCCACGGGCCAGGCCGAAAGATTTCTCGCTTCGCCGATGATATCGGTGGAAACAACGCAGAGAGACGCATGCCGAAAGGCCAGGCAGTCAAAATCCGTGCCCTGTTACCCTGCATGTACCTTGCGTTTCTTACCAACGAAAGCCTCCAGAGTGTAAGTTGGCTTATTCAACTTCCGAAACTCGGACTAACTAGTCAGCGAACGATGTCGAGAGAAACAAGGTTATTGTTGCTGGAATGTAGTCGGTAGAGTAGTAGTGGTGACATGACATGCTTGAAGCAGCTTGACCGACGGATCATTCTTCCTGCCATATCTACACGGTCCTCGAGCGCCGCCAGTTCATTTGCCTTGCTAGGGATATTGACTGATCTTATTTCACGGAGTTTTTCAAATATTCTGCAGGTGCGACTTGACTCTGCACCATTTCCCCTGGTTTTGATTTAAAACCATGCATGGTGCTCGAATATATAATCAACATATCGAGTACCATTGGGCTAGTGTTGAGTAGTTCAGCTGGCATAGTACTTTTACTCCGTGATCGGACGACTATGATGGCACGGATCCAAGGGGTTATGCTGAATCAGCATCGTCTCAAATTCGCTTCGGCCATTCAACCTTCCATTTGAGTGGCGGGTCATGCTTGACATGTGTCCCACAAATGTCAAGGCTCAACAACTCGCCAAATAGCCAGGATGAAACCTTAACCACCGAGAATGTGTTCTAGGCGGGTATTGGTGGCTACAGTTGAGGAGTCGCGTTGATAAGGTTCATAAGCCGTGCTGCCACCCTACGTTCCACTCGTGCCATTGCGGTCCAAACTCATGGTAGGTTAGCATTCTCATAATGATTCTTGGAGGTTAGTCAACCTTACAATGATCAGCAAGTGTCAACCCTGTTGCAATTATACCTCATGACGGTGAGCATGGCCAGGGAAGATAGCAAAAAAAGGGCTGTTTGGAGAAGAAGCCAATGCAGGAAGTATGAATCAAGAGGCGGTATCCCTACGATCTGGCTGAGACATTGCCAAGGATACCCCAAGGAGACTCGCAGTAGGCTTACCAAGCCTTCAATCTTAGTCACAGGAGCAATGCTTCGTCCCAGGATTTTGAAGGGGCCAATAAATATAGTGTGTATCCCTCGGCTAAGGTAAACCTTGACAAAGGAGGGAAATCCCAAACATGTCTCACAGACATCGTATGCCTATCAAACAGGCTTCGAAGTCGATGCCAGCTCTTTGATTCCCTAGAAAATGAACTCATGTCATGATCCGCCAGACCATCAGCTTACAGTCCTCCATAATCAGGAGCAGGCTAACACAGTCGACAACGATGCTTACCGTCAACAAGTGGCGCACATACTCGCCAACTGGTACCAGCCATCCTGGATGCGCGCCTCATTAAGGTTACTTGGCATGAGCCTCTCGTAAGCCTTGGTGGTTCTGTTGTTGAGGCTGCAAAGACTGTTCCGAACTGCGTCCCCTTCCACCCATACTGGCCAAGGGGAGCTTTTTCGGTATCATCAGCAGATACTCGGGTCAAAAGACATCACAAGGTCTTGAATAAAGTTCCATCCACACAATAGCGTGAAAGTTCCTGACGTATAATATTGGCTGATAGATGAGTGTAATAAAATCCCCGATATAGAAAGCCACTAGGCGATTTACTAGATTAGCGTGGTCGAAGTCGGGTGGTAGACCTGTGAGTGGCACGTGTATCGCCGGGCCCGACTGGAATGATGACCGTCCACCTCACTCCACTGTTACAGTAGCAGAGATAACTTTTGATGTTCATAGCATAGCACAGGATATGAGTAACTGCGACAAAGAGAAGGCTATGGATGAGATTGGTACCACTTGAAAAGGACTTATTTTCATTCCCCCTCTACTTCCTATCATCATTTGCGTACTACACATCATACAGATATATAAATATATATATCTCTACTAACTGGCAATTCTTCTGTGAATAGGACACTACGACCGATGATAAACTTTGCAGAAAGCGGCATTGAGGCCGTAGACGAACTTACTCCTCGTATGCTAGCTGCAATAACCTCGAGCGAGCAGACTGATATTGCTCCCCATGACTTGACCTGAGGAAGGAATTCTAGAAAGGACATCCAGGATACGACAGTAAGTTTCTTCGGCCGGTAGATCAGTTTCCTCGGATTTGCGATGCAGACAGTATCGACCATCATTACCTCAGCCAAGCAAGGGGCTGCGGCAGCTGATCAGTTGGGTTGGAGGGATTTTGGCCACATACCAAGAGATGCCTCTGGAGTCATCGCTTGATGTTATAGTTTTCAAAAAGCCTCGTGGTCTGAGTATAAAGTGAGAGAATGGTCTGAACCGTTACCATCAGTTTGACAGATCTGGAGGCTAAGTGACAGACAGATTAGCTTATCGTGAACAATACCATCGAAGGGAACACCAGAAGGAGACTCATATACTATACAGTACTGCATCTGACTGTTTCGAAGGCGGGTAAATTCTGGTCTAGTCTCTCATATGATCCGCACTGGTTTCTCTTTGAGGTGGGTACAAATAGTGAGTTGCACCGCAAGTAGTAATCTATAGATGAAACAACAAGTTGATTGGCAACCCAGGGGTGAATGTTCTCTGGGTGGTACAGCGGGTAGCGGAGGTACAACCATGGATCCTTATCTTGGGGGAGGGGGACCCCTAGTAGCCACGCGCGGAGTATCCTGGAGCTTCGTATGACCTATGGTTGATTCAGAATGAGTTCGGTTATTGGTATGTTGAACTGACATCATCCAGGGTACTGAGTTATAAAGGGAGAGAAATCGATGTAAACTCTAGAGGAAGAGGATAATACTAGTTGACTAGTGACTAGCAAAAGAGGACTGTGCGTAATAAGCTTATCGATAAGGGAGGGACTAGTCCCGAAACGGAGCCCACGTAAACACCAAAACATCGATCGGGCCTCACCGTCCAGTTTCCCTTGAGTTCCAAGTCCATCTCTCTCTCTCTCGCTCTCTCACTCTTCTCTTCCCCCCCTTCCCTAGCTTCTCACTCTCTCCTCCACTCACTAACTAAACCCAACCCCCTCCCTCCCTTTAACCTAAAGCGTGTCGCATCCCACGCTGAACCTTCCGCCCCCCTTCTTCGCGTTTCGGCGTGCTACTCTTCCCTTGTTTTTGTTTTTCCTTTCTTGCCATGTGTTGGTCTACAGCTCCGTTACCCGGTCCTTAATGCTTCCGTTATTGTCTCTCGTTCAGCGACGGTGCGCTTGTAGCTATATTCGCCCTTTGACTTTCCTACCCCGTTGATACTTCGATCGGACCCCGATACTGCATCATATCGAATCTTCTGACACGTCAATTGCATCTCCGATCGTTTTCTCCAGCAATCTGACGTCCGCTCTGGCTAGCAATTAGCGGTGGTGGTAGTAGTCGATCTCCGGTCCGCTCGTGCTCGGTCACTTCAGCCGCAATGGCCCCCGCCGCACCCCAGCTCCCGACCCGATTCCCTTGCTGGTGTCGGGCAATATATTCATGGGGTGGAGAAACGAAACGCGACTTGGGATTTGTGGAGGGCGACCTCATTGAGTGCCTAAATGCTGGCGATGGTCAGTGGTGGATGGGCCGATTGCGGCGAGACAGGCGCATGATGGGGTTGTTCCCCTCCAACTTCGTTGAAGTGCTCAGGGAGGATTTCGTACCTGTGCAACGGTCAACGAGCCCCATGCTACCACCTGCCTCGTCGCCGATCACGAATCCAACTTCGGCTCCTAAGAAACAGAAAACGGTCTTTCGGAAGCCATTCCAAGCCCATAAAGAAGCTCTTGCGCCCTCGGGTGAGCTATCCCGGAGCTCGACCTCTTCATCGCCAGTGACCAGTACGATCCCGCAAACTCCACCCCGAGATGGCAGTCTTTCCTCGCGGAAGGTGAAGCCGCTGCGCACCCCAACAACCGCTGTAAAGCATCAGAGCTCTTTATCGAGGCCCGTATCCCGGTCCAGGCCTTTGTCCCGTGCGATGTCCCCGCATCCTCCAGTCGAATCAGATCCCCAACTTTCGTCCACCCTCCCTGGGACATACATGGCCCGGTCAAGACCTCCCTCTCGCGGAGTGTCGCCCCATCCGCCAGACCCAGAACTCCACCTTCCTTCCATCCCGCCTGTGCAAAGTGCACCACGCCCCGGACCTCCTCCTCGTGCAGTATCGCCAGCTCCTCCGCCAACCATCGATTACCAGCTTCCATCTCTCCCTCCTATGGAGGTTGCAATCCAGAGACCTGCGTCTCGTGGAGCGTCCCCATACCCGCCTGATGACGTAGACCTTATGCCTCCTCAGGTTCCGAGACACAGCATATCTCTACACCGGCCCTCCTCGCGCGAAATATCTCCACTTCAGCTGCACGAGAGAGAAGACTCGCCGCCCCCGCCACCCCCACCACCACACAGAGTTGCTGTCAATCGTCAGCCGTCCATCGAACCACACGTTCCCACACGCCTGGACATGAATGATCGTTTTGTCACAATGTCAAGGACGCCATCCCCGGCTGCCCATTCCGAGGGCCGCGGACACACCCCGTCGCCCCTTCGTGATGCGATGGAAGACGTGATGACTTCATTGGAGGATATGGGGCTGCCCCGAGGCGGACAGTCGCCATCGCCGCAGCCGATGTTCAACAACCCGTGGTCACCGGACGCATATGATAGCTTCCGTGAAACTCGGCCCATACAAACCTCTCGTCGGCCGCTAACCTCTCTGGGATTTGATGGAGACAAGGAATACCAATATCATGGCAGTCAGGCTCATAGAAACAGCGTCTACGCACATGATCCCTACATGGACGGTCCGCCACAATTGAACAACTATGTACAGAGGATGGAAAGTCGACTTCGGCAGATGCAAGAGCAGAGTCAAAGGGAGGCTGAGGATGCGCAACATTCTGATGAGGAAGCCCCACCTCCTCCTCCAAGAAACGTACCCTACCATGCCCGGCATAATTCGATCCCCGCCCAGTACCCAGTGGTAAGAGGACGGAGGTCCGGCCAAGATCTCCGCGGGGACTTGCTCAACCGGTCATATACCAACAAGTCCAGCACGACGAACTCTTCGAGCGGGGTGCACAGTACGAGTACGACACAGACGGGAAGCACCGAGAGAACCAGCCAAAGCATCATGAGTGGGCCCTCAGCCGGTGGATTCAGCGCGACCAGTGCGGGTAGTTATGCCAGGAGAGGTACCACTCCGGCCGAAAGACCAAACACGGCAGTCGACACGTTCCGCTCAAGAGGCTTCAGCGATGTCTCCCGGGTGGCAAGGCCCGAAACGCCGTTGACCGGTGTATCGTACCATTCCAGCCATAATACCTCCCGGCAAGGTGCATCATCTGCCATACCCTGGTCGTCCGGTGAAGGCGGCGCAGAAGAGCCGACCGCTGTGTTCGGTGGCCTTTCCACACCAAAGGCCAAGAAGCCAGGGTTCTTCAAAAAGATATTTGAGTCAGCGAAGACAGGTGCTGCCAACGCGAGGAGCAGCATCGCAGTCGGGCACAATGGTGGATCTTCGTCGCCCACTAAGGGCAGAGGAATCTCGCCAATCCGTGCTCTGCAATCCAGCCGGGACTCTGCCCGCGAAATGGGGCCTGGCACCAGCGCCATCGATTGGGTACAAGTCCGTCGCGATGTAAACCGTGCAAGCTCACCCAGTCGAAACGAGAGAATTGAACGGGCTGAAAGATGCCAAATGATGGACCACCCTGTGATCTATTCGGTGGAGGAACTCTACGAGACGGCGGAAGGCGATGAGAGCATTGACGGCTTGCCGATCAGTGAGCCGACCAACTTCGCCAGTGTCAACCTGAATCTTGTGGACAAGAGCGCGCGTTTTGTCAACAGTCTTCCCCCAATGACGAATCCGGCGAGTTTAGCGCACGGGTATGTCTGCCGCCCTTATAAGAGTGATGTCCAGAGGCTGCGCGCCATCTTTACTTGGGTGAGCGAAAAGATCGCGTGGGATGACCCGGTTGAAGAGATCGGCATCGATTTGAGGCGGGTGCTGCAGACGAAAAGAGGCAGTCCCCAAGAAGTGGCCTATCTGGTCAAGGAGATGTGTGCGGCGGTCGGTCTCCACGCTGAAGCGATTAATGGGTTCCTCAAAGGCCCTGGGGAGATGTTTGACCTGGACGGCCTCTCGCGACCCAACCATTGGTGGAACTCGGTGCTCGTGGATGGCGAATGGCGCATCATGGACTGTTCGCTGGCCAGCCCTACGAATCCGCGACGGAACCAGTTCGTCACCAATAACACTTCCGTGGCCGAAAGCTGGTATTTCCTGGCACGACCCTTGGAGATTTGCTATACGCATGTTCCTCTTGCTCCTGAAGAGCAGCACATCTGCCCGCCAATTTCGCCAGACGTTCTGCTGACCCTCCCGGCGGCCTGCCCACCATATTTCAAGCTGAATATGCAATTCCCCGATTATGATACTAGCATCATCCGAATTGACGGCTTGGAAGTCATGCAGATTCGCCTTGCGGTGCCCCCGGACGTGGAATGTGCGGCCGAGGTGGAAGCCCCAGCGTTTGCCCGTGACGCCGATGGTGATTTCTTCGAAAGCGGCGAAGTTGTGCGCAAGCGCGCGCTGGTGCAGCCTGACTGGGTCAGTGGACAGAAGCGAATTACGGTGAAAGCTATCCTGCCCGGCGATGAAGGACAGGGCACAGTCAAGGTGTACGCCGGCAAGAAGGGACTGATGCACTCCAGTCGTGATATTCCTCACCCATTGGCTCTTGCTCTTCCCATGCTCCACAGCAGCGATAACCCGCCGTACGACTTTGTGCTGCGCCATCCGACCCCTCACGCTCAGCGACATGATCTCTACATCATGCAGCCGCAGTGTGCGAAGCTGGCGGTCAACAACACCTTCGTTTTTGCTGTGCGCCAACACCCGGCCTCCCCGGCTTTGTCGTCCGGCAGCAATGAGGCTGGCGTCAGTGGGCGTGTCTCACCGTCGGTCTTCACCCGGCCTGCGAGCGCATTAAGTATGGTTTCCAGTTCCGCGGGCGGTTCCACGGTGTCCGGGGTGTCCAACGAGTTCTCCGCCTCAACATCGGCTATTTCATCCGGCCGTTCGATGTCTGGACGCGAAAAGCCGGCCAAGCTGGCGATTCAGTCTCCATCAGGCAAGATCCTGCGTTTGACGCGGAAGCCCGAGCATATGCTCAGCCCTCATACAGGCACGCACGCATTCACCGATGCTCCGGCAGACGGCAGTGTCTGGGAGACGGTGATCAAGATTGGCGAGCGCGGCGTGTGGCGAGGCTTGGTACTGGCCGACCGAGTTGCACGGTGGTGTGTCTTTTGCGAATGGGAGTGTTACTGACCAAAATCCCCAACTGCCGGGCTTGCATTTGGGAACATTTGCCAAGCAAACGCGACTGTAATCTAATCTTTTATTTGTGTTCATCTACGGAGACTTCTTCATCGACATTTGTCTATTTGACAGCATTGCATCCGGTCCGGGACTGGCATCTGTACCAGGACATCATCAAGGGGCAGCAGGACGTGATCTACCCCTACATGTTACTACCATCATATTGAGGCGTTTCCGGAAAGACCATGATGGCGCCGGTGTTATTCTTTTTTTCTTTCTCTTTCTCTTTTCCTTCTTGACTGTTTCAACAATTTTATTCCATGTTTTCATGCATTATGGTTTCTGAGTTATGGGGCATCATGTCTGATGATATGGCTGTTTGGGGCTTTATTCAATTTGCGATGAACTTACTGCTATGATCTAGAAGCATGACTAGACTCGGTTGGTGCTGTGAATCAGGTCGGGATATATTGAGATTGGTTCTTTTCTCTTCAGTTGTGTTGTGTTGTTGTATCTATTATGTGTTGTGCTGGAGCTTTGTGTATTGGCTCACTGGTCATTATCCATCATCAAACGCAGTCAGTCGATTCTGAAGATAGATATAGAACCATATCTGATTTTGACATGGCTGGAGCAAAGCAATTACACAATTAACCCAATTATATCCACCCACCTATATATTCAAAAAGCCTATATACACCGAGATAGACAAAGTAGATACTACGTTATAAAGACTTCACAGCCTCCCTAATCAACGGCGCCACCTGCTTCCGACTCTTCGTAACATCCTCTTGGACCCAGATCCACTTCCTCCACGACTGGTCATCATCTCCACTCACATCCCCCAACTCACTACTTTTACTCTCCTCATCTCCATCCAACACCCTCCACTTCTCCAACCCCAACTGCACACCCGCCTGCTCCTCAAACACCTCCACTCCACGCACACCACCTTCCCCAGTCGCACACACCAACAACTCCCGACAAAACTTCCCCTCCGCACCACTAAACGCCGTCATCACCATCACCACATCCAACTCCTCCCTCTTCGCATAATCCACCACAGCATCAAGTAGGGCCCCCGTCCCGCCCGCTTTCCTCTCCAACCACGGCAACGACCGCACCATGGAACAAATCCCAATCTTCACCGCCCCCTCCCCTTCTCCCTCTCCCTCCTCCTTCTTCTTCGAAGAAGAAGAAGAAGGCACTTCCCTCCACTCCTTATAATCCCTCTCCAAGACCTCGGGAACAGTCAACAAATCCAAGCTCCCCTGCTTGGCAGCCACCACCTCCTCATAGAACTTATTATGATCCCAGGGCTTCCCCGCCGCATCCCCATCTCGATTCGAAATCGCATTGATCTTCGATCTGAGGAAACTGTACGCGAGCGTATCCGAGTCCGTGACCTTCTCCTTGGCGGTGAAGTTCGCCGTGTCGATGAGAATGGCGCTCATGGCTAGCTTCGCTAATTGGAGTTCGGATGATAGCTCCGCAGGGGTGGAGGTGGTGGAGGAAGTGCGTCGCCAGCGGTCCATTTTATCCAGCATGTTGACTACGAGCGAGGTGCATGATCCGGCCGGTTGGAGGAGGAAGGGCTGATCTGGGTCTGTGATTGGGGCTAGGAAGTGTTCGTCGACGTGGTGGTCGATGCAGCCGAGGACGGTGAAGGTGAGGTTGGGGAGCGTGGGGAGGGCGCCTTGGCCTCGGGGTTGGGTGGGGGAGCGGATAGGGAGGGCGTTCCAGTCGACGAGGACGGCGTCGGCGGTTAATTGATTATTGTTGTGGTTGTAGTCTTGGAGGTGAGTTGCAAAGTCGGAGACGGTGAGGATGTGTTCTTGGAGAAGGGGACCGGCGGACTCGGGCGTGTCGGACCATGTTTCTTCGTCGGGGACGGGGGGGTGCGTGGAGAGCCAAAGGGATTTGATGAATTCGGGGCGGAGACGGCGTAGTTCGGGACCTGCGGGGACAGTAGGGAGGTTGATTAGGGGGACGTGAGGCCGGGGATGGGCGAAGGAGGCATAGACTATGGCGGAGATGATGGAGTCGAGGTCGGCGGAGGGGTTGCCGATGACGTAGATGGGGGATTCGGCGCGGGAGAGTCGACCGGCGAGAAAACGATGGTGGGTTTGGAGGGCTTTGGCGAGGAATTGGAAGAGACTGTGCTCGGGAGGAGGCATTGTAGCGGGTTTAGTAGGGAGGAGTTGTAGTGAGAATGAGTTGGATGGGTTTGTTTTGGAGTCGAAAATATAGGATGAGGGGATAATTAACCTCATCGGGGAATCTCCGCCGCGGAGAGGCAGAACTTGACCGCCTATGGCATCATCCAAGATATTCAGCTATTATTCATGGTATCATCTGGATATCAACATTGCATCTCTTCGAGTAGGATCTGTTTTATCTTGATATTACTCTGCTGTAAGTCAATTCCACTCTCAGGTCGGTGAATACCTACTGTAGTATTAACGTACCCTCCAGATATACTCCAACCTCCCCGATATATACTCCGCACCACCTCCACTCCTATCCCGAACTCTCAACATCATAATCTCATATTGTCACCCTCCAAACTACTACTCTGCTATAACACCATGATCCCCCTCCCCACCCCCTTCTCCCAGATCCCCCGCTACCCCCTCCTCTACGCAACCCCCTCCCCCATCCACCCACTCCCAACCCTAACCAGAACCCTCCTCCAATCCCGATACACAACCCCCAAGACCACCACCAACAAGAACATAAACACAAACATAAACATAACCCTGTACCTCAAACGCGAAGACCACGCCTCCCCGCTAACCTCCAGCGGCAACAAATACCGCAAATTCGAGTACCTAATACCAGACATTCTCTCCCCGACACCCAAATACGGCTCTCTAGCACCAGGACCCGATCACGGCACCCTGACATCCACCACAGCATCCCCAGAAGAAGACCAACAGAAACCACATAATCATCACAAACAGAAAAGAAAAGATTCAGTAACCCTAGTAACCGAAGGCGCCCTCCAAAGCAACCACACCATCCAAGTAACCAGCATCGCGAACCACCTGAGCCTCCCACGGCCGGTGATTATCCTCCACAAGGCGACGGGGGGCGGATACGCCCAAGTACCAGACAAGAGTCTGTTCGAGAGGACGGGAAATGTGCAGGTTGCGAAGTTGTTAGGGGCTGATGTGAGGGTCTTGGATGATTCGTCTACTGTGTCTACAACGTCTACAAATACAGAAGAAGACGAAGACCAAGATGGGGTCCACTCGATCTTCTCAACCCTCCAATCCGAAAACAAACATCCCTACTGGATCCCCTCCGGCGCAAGCCTCCACCTCCTAGGCGGACTGGGGTACGCGCGATGCGCATTCGAAATAGCGTACCAGGAAACTCAACCACAACCACAACCACAATCACAGCTCGGGGCTCCCAATCTCGGAAGAATGGACTACATCTTCGTGGCATGCGGCAGCGGGAGTACCCACGGGGGATTAATCGCGGGATTAAAGCTCCTCGAGAGGCACGAACAGAAAGATACTAGCACTGCCCGCCGCCCTTCCCGAAAAGTCATCGGCGTGCTCACGTCCCCAACACGCCCACGCAGCTACCACGAGAACAGAGTATTGCAGTTTGCGCGCCAAGCGGGAAGACTCATCGGGATCGAGGATGTGGAGAGGGAGATAACGATGGAGGATGTGCATGTTGATGAGCGGTTCGCGGGCACGGCGTATGGGGAGGTGGATGATGCGACGGGGGATATGGTGCGGTTGATGGCGAGGGAGGAGGCGGTGTTGTTGGATCCGGTGTATACGGGGAAGGTGGCGAGGGGAATGGTGCATTGGGTTAGGGAGGGGGAGGTGGATAGGGATTGGGTTGCCAGGGGGGGAGGCGAGGGAGATGGGGTTGGTGTTAATGTGTTGATGGTGCATACGGGGGGACAGTCTGCTTTGAGTGCGTATGCGGATGTTGTGTAGATACATATTTGCTGTTGCGGTGGCTGTGTGGGTTGTAGATATTGATTAGAGCTAGTGCACATAGGCTGAGGAATAAGGTCTACTGTATTGAACGATTGTTGGTTAATGACACATCGAACGCGCTCATCGAGCGACTGACTAGAAAAATAAAAATACTGGAGAAAGCGCAAAGATAGCAGTGTACATTGGTCTGAGAAAACAAAAGCCACCCCTTAGAAGAAGGAACAGTGAAATCACACACAAACAACTATCAAATAAGAATAGAGAAGACAGGAAAACACCACGCAATGCGGAGACGGACTAGCCAGGTCTCCGTTGTCTTCGTACACCGAAGTCGTACAAATCAAAAACCACAACATAAGTTTTAAACAGGATCAAGATCCCATCCGAGCGAATCGAAAAAGACTTTAAGAGCAAAACAGCTGGCATCCCAGTGAACAACAACACCGTTAACAATCCAGGAACAACACAAAGCCACCAGCAAGTCTGGAAACGCCGCAGAATGCCGTGTCATGCAACGTTAAAAGGTTAAGGAAAGAGGACAGTTTGAGAAAGAGAAAATCCGGACATCCCCATGAACCCACTAAACATATTATCGGTCAAGTGGTCGAGAAAAATAATTTTTGGACTATCGGTAGGAAAAGGTTCGATCAAAGCTCATCAGCATGGTCGTCTGCCTCGGCATGGCCGTTGGTGTCCCCGTTCACTTTGTGATCAGGCGAGTCTGCATCAGGCAAGCCATCAGAGTCATCTCCGTTGCTCACGTCGAGAACCTCAAGTGCCTCGTTGGCGTGCGTGTTCTCCATCAGCTCCGGTTCAGGTTCTTGGTCCGGATCCTGATCTTGGTTTGTCAGGTCGGCGAACACATCGTCGAGGTTCTGGCGAGGACTGCTGTCGAAAGGATCACGGCTGTCCACATCCACTCCAGGAGGCGCGTCATTGTGGTCTCGGGTATACCGAGGAGAGCTGAAGAGGGACGTGTCTAAACCCTGGTGCGGTAGTGTGGGAGAACGCGGAGGGAACGACGGCGAGTCGGCCGAAACATGAGGTAAGAACGCAGAGGAGCCTGGTGCGAACGCTGGGGTAGACTCGGTGGCAGGAAGTGAGTAGTTTGCAGAGAAAGGATACGGCGGGTTTGGAGCATCGGCCATCGGCGTCAGCGTAGGACCACTGCGGCCCGAATCAGAGTTCGAGCCGTCGCCGGGCGTCTGGAGTATGGAAGGACGGCCAGTCTGAGATTCAATTGACTTGCGCTTGGCAAAGTTGGGCTGCTTAGTGCGAAGGTGAGGAGGCAGGTCTTCAGGCCGCTCCACGCCGAGCTGAGCCATGATCTTCTGCTGCTTCGTGGGGCGGGGCTTCCGAGTGGAAAGCGACTGTTCCAGGATCGGTGGAGGCTCGGGGGCAACAGGCGCCCACTTATGGATCTCTTGTCGGAAGAAATTCGTCTCATATGCCAGGAGAACCTCCGCGCCCTCGATTTTCCGCAGGTAGAAGATCAACGTGGGGACCTCCTCCGTAGTGGTGCAAGCAGCATTGGTGAAGCTGTGGAGGAAGTCCCGGAAGGTCGTGGCTTGGTTGATAATATTATCCAGGATCTCCTCCTCGTCCGGTTGGAAAGGCAGACCAGCAATCTCAGCCTGCCATTCCAAGAGATCCTCCAACTTGGGCCGGGCAGCATCTCGAGGGATCTTCTGGCGCCAGTCGCAGATCGGGCACGTGTATTTGTCAAATTCCTTGACCTTGCCCCTTGCAATCTTCAGACACTTGCCGTGGTACCTGCACACGAAGTAAGCATTGTATCCCCCTTCGAAAAAAGTATCAACAAACTTACCATTCGTGACAAACCTCACACTCGATCATCATGCCAGCTTCCGAGTGTCTGCAGATGCAAAACACATCCCGTTTCCGCGACTTCCCACCACCCCACATACTTGGAGTGCTGGTACTTTCTAGCAAACCATCTGGGGTATTATCTCGCGATGCCGGTTCGACAGGCGGCCGACAGCGATCTTCCAGATCGAAGCAATATGAATTGCGCTTCTCGACATACTCCATATGTGACTTCAGGATGTGCAGCGGGGCATTCGCCTTGCCAAATAATTTTTTGCCCTTCCTCATCCAATCCTCATGACGCTTTTGCTCACGCTCAAGGTCAATCGCACCAGTGGGCCGGCTGTTCAACTCCTCCAGAGAATCCATGAGCTCCCGGACTTCCTTGTACTTGGGACGGTTGCGAAAATCCGGATCCCGGCTCCGGTCATACAGACTCTGGATCCTGCGCTGCGCTTCGCGTTGTTTGGTCAAAATTGCGTCTACAGCTGCCAGGGTATCAGGGGACACTGGGAACCGGGATGCCTGCGCAGACAAAGCCTCGAGTTGCTGGTAGTGAACGGCTTCTACGGACATCAACTCCTTGGCTTTTGCTTCCCAGGCCTCACCGTGGCGACACAGATCCTTGAAGTGGAGGAGGTGGTCGTTGGTCTCCGATAATCCTAGTTGCTCGCCGGCCTGGATGATTTCCTGACATTCCTTCAAGGTCAGGTACCGATCCCGTTTGCGACGGGCTTCCTCGTTCCATTTCATTTGCCGGAGTATGTGCTCTAGTCCCTCAACCTCGGGTATATCCACGTTGAAATTGCGCGCGGATTCCACCAGATCCTCGACTTCCTGGACCGATCGGATGTTGGGGTTCATGAGGGCAACGTTAACGTCCTGGCGGAATTTCTCGATCTCGCGGGTCTTCTCTTCCAGAGCCGCCATCTGTGGACAGTCGAACGACAGTTTATCAGCCTCTGCAAGAAGGGCGTAGATGTTTTCTACTCTGCGAACTTCACGATCACGTTCTTCCAGCTGCGCAGCTTTAGAAGTCCCCTTGCGCCACGCCTTCTCGTTCTTCCTCCGGTTCTGCTGCTTCCGGGTAATGTAATTGGTTGCTTCTTCAACCCATTTATCGCAACGCTGGACGAAAGCCGCGAGATCTTGGAGACCAGGCAAATGGTATGGGATTTTCTCACCTTCATTAAGTAGGTTATGAAGGACCTTCAATTGGGGCTTCGGCTCGTCTTCCAGCATTTTGTCGAGCTTCTCTCCCCAGGCCTCCGGGATCCTGGCGCGTTCCTGGACCTTTAGTACTAAGGCCTTCAAGGCATCATCACCTATTCGATAGCGCAGTGTGTGGTCCGGGCCAGTTAACCTTTGTGTTAGCGGTTCGCCACAACAATCATACGTTTCCACGTGGGGCAAGCACACAGTCTTCCCAGTCTTATGGCATCGGAACTGCGCTAGATAAGTATAGGCCTTGCAATACTGGCACTGATAATCATCTTCGGGCAGGTCTTCCTCCTCAACCACAAACTTGAGTTGACAATTCCCAGTAGCTGCAGGGTCTTCAGAATACAGGGTGCAATTGTGCGGAGCCAGCTCCCGATGTCGGGTGGCGAACGTCGCTCGATCGCTCAATTCCCGCGCGCAGGCACGCTGGAGTGCTGGTGCCAACCACTTGGCCGTGGTGATAGATTGATCACGAGCTGCAGCTGTCAAAAGGAGCTCGTCATGGGAGAAACACGGGTGTCGACGGAAATCTTGAAGGCGCTGCACCCCCATGGCACCCCAGGGTTCCCAATCTGCAGGCGCAAAGTTGACAGCCTCGTTAAAGTTGAAACCATGGTTGAACCCGGCATGGTATGCCTGCGGGAAGGTGATCACGAATTGACCCGCCCGCTGATCCAGTGCATACACTCTAACACCGGCCTTTCTCAGTTGATCCGGGGGCATTAGCGTGACCAGCTGGAACAGAAGGTCGGGTTGGCCCTCAAACAGCTCCGGTACCGCCTGCCGCATGGCTTCCTCGAATGCCTCGGCATCCGCTCCGGGAATGCCGTACCAAGTCTTGGTGGCGCCAAAATGCTGGTAATTGGCCGAATAAGCATAATGGTCTTCATTGTGCCAGCAGAATGTCGAAAAGCACATGCCAACATAGACCCAAGGGACAGTCATGCCGGAGATGTCAGACTTGATATGGCGGAACAGGGAGTCTCCGTGGAAAGGCATCACGTTTAGATTCCAAGGATCAACCGAGTAGGGATCCAGCGGATTCCGTTCAATGGTGGGAAAACCACTTCCATGCGTGGTTGAATGAATATCTGCACCGTACTCGACCTCGACCGTCTCCGTCAAGCTCTCCACCAGTCGCCAGAATTCGCGCTCAACATCATCCTCAGATTCACGTCGGTGAGTATTGAGCACGGGGTCAAAAGGCATCTTGGAGGCGAAGTAGGTTTTCTTGAAGTTGTTCGCCTTCTCTTGGAACTGCTTGAGCGAATACACGCCACCCTCTTCGAAGCCAAATTCGCCGGTACCGACCAGGCACTTGGGGCAATGCCAGTCATACTCAGGGACTGTGGTCAGGGGTGGATCGAGACAGGATTTGTGATACCCATGATCACAACTATCACACACTAGAATCGACGAGCGTTCCTCCGATTTTCCACATATTTCGCATTTCTGGCTAAAGTTAGCATTGAGATAATGTAACAATGAAGAGTAACATACATCACCAGTCTTCCGGTGATCGCTCTTGCGTTGCCGAGGTGGTGCAGGACGCAGGAGGCTCATGTGTGAGCCCGATACAGTGGGCAGGGGCGCATCTGAGCAAGAAGGGTTAGACAGCGACTACTACGTCTACAGTAATTAGGCACATACCTTTCCGAAGTCGCTTGCTCCGTCGACCATTAGCATCAACTTCACCGTTTTCAGCGTGCGATGCACTTTCGTGGCTGATCGCGCGCTTCATTGGCGGACCCGCATGGCCATTGGAAGCAGCGCTTGGATTGGCCGGATGCTCAGCGATACTCTTCGGGGTGAGAGAGCCATTGTCTGCTTCCCGCTTCACGGCGGGGCCACTATTCACAGCCACAAAAGATGGTGATCGATTGACAGCAGTGAAACCACTCGAGCCAGCATTCACGGGTGTAAATCCAGACGCAATCGGCCGAGCAGGCTCGATGGGCGGTGTGGGCTTTTCTGGAGTTGCCTCAACCTCCTTTGCCGCACTTGGAGGCGCAACCGGATTGCTCGGTGCGGGCTGAGGCGTGGCTGATGGCGTGGCGCTGTCAAGTGATACGGGCTTTTTGGGCATGGGGGAATGGTTCGGGGACGGTGTATAAGGACCACCATGTTCCAGCTCCAATTGTTGCTGAACCCCGGGCTTGGCCACACGCAGATACTCTTCGTATGGCTGAAGCCATCTTTGATACGAATTCTTGAGCGATGTGGAGAGCGAGGACATGATTTTGCCACTGTAGCCCAAGTCGCGCCCAATCTCGGCCCATTTCTTCATCTTGCAGACTTGATCAAAGCCACCACGGACCTCCACCGCCTTTTTCAATTTGTACAGATCCAGCGGACGTTTGTCGACGCTCGGGAATCGGTTGAGGTTGGTGCCATGTTGCTTGTGAAACTTGGCCAATTGATCGAGGTAGTTCAAGTTTGCACGAGTTCCTGAGTCCGCGTCAGAACTGGGCTGCGGAGCTCCACCGGCAGCTTGTTTGGCTGAGCGCGGGGGCATACCTCCTTCAACCGAGTTGAGCTCCTGCCGACGGGTTTTGAAATGGAATCGCTAGAAGAACGCGTTGGTCAGCCCTATTTAGCCCCCACAGGATATCCCAGACTGGAGTCACTGCAGCTCTTTGTTTGCTCCACACCCAGAAAACAAGATCGCAGGAACACTCGCATACCTCTGTATCTATAGCAAACGTTGGTTGCCAGTTCTCAGGCGGAATGATCCGGCAAATTCCATACTTCTTCCCCTCCGGCGCGATCTTGCGGATGTATGCCTCGGGATCCTTGAACTCCTCCTCTGTCGGCCGGAAGGTGGGTGCCTCTTGTAACCCATGGGGGCGCACTCGTGTACTCGGTTCGCGAGGGGCATTGGGTTGTCCACGGCGCTCGACGGTGGACAAGTCGAGGGGTTCGGACCTGCGAGCGCTCAAGGGAACATTGTGAGAATGCGATGGGTGAGTGCTGGCCGATCGAGTGGGTTGGCGACTCGTTGAAGGCTGCAGGCCTGTAGAGGCGCCTCCAGCAGACGCCGGAGCCACCATTTCTGAGGGGCGACAATGGTATCGAGGCGAGAGAGAATTTGCGCGTGATTTACCGCGGACGGAAGGGGGCCAGCATCCGATGCGAAAAACACATGGAGGAGGGCCAGATCAACTGAGAGAGATGGAGTTTAGTGTCGAGAACCGAGGATAGAACACCTGGTAGGATTGGATGAAGGAAGAAGAAAAGTAGGGCCGAGGGATGGATGGGGGAGGGGAAGGAGAAGGGGAGATAGCGAGGGAGGTGGAAATTGATGATGATAGAGAGCAAAAGGGCAGCCAGCCAGCAGATGGACTGTCAAAGGGCAGGCCGAGATGAACCCGGGAGGGCTAGTGTGGAGAATCTCGGAACAGGAACAAGGATTGGAAAGAGTAACGTGCTCACCCCAGGTAAAGAAAAAGCCGGTCAGCAGACAGAGAGAGAGAGTGGGAGGGAAGAAGAGAGGGATGAGAAAGAGAAGGGATCGGGGGAGGATCAGAATCCCGTAGCAAGGGTGTTTTCCGTAGGGTAGGGAAAGTAGTAGTAGGGGAAGTAGGAGGTTTAGTTTAGAAAATGGGGGTTGAGATTTAGCAGTCGTGACGATTGGAGGAATTGACCGTAGCCGGAAGTAGTCCTAGCTAGTAAGGTAGTTCGCAGGGAAAGCCACTTGGGCCAAACCAGGTAGTAGTAGTAGTAGTAGTTTAGTTAGTAGCTAATGGGGCACAGCTTGGGCTTTTTAGCTGACTAAAAAAGACAATCATGGGTGAAGACTGATCGTCTAGATAGTCAGTTCAGTCTAGTCTGGTTATCGAGATGTAAGTAGATAGATAGGAAGTTGTTGTTTCCTATCCACAACTTTCCCCCGTCCCTTCAGACCTGAACTGGAGAAAGAGAACCACCCACCCCAAGTGGATCGGCAACTGAAGAAAAACGATCAGATGCCGAATTCGTCTGGAGTAAAAAAAGAAGGAATGAATGGAACGGAAGATCGAGAAAATATGCTAAGGGGAAGAAGGTGGCAGAAAAAAAGGGAAAAATAGGAGAGGGAAAATAAAAAGGATAAATCGAAGACGAATAGAAGGGGGGGAAAAGCAAATGGGTGAAGAAAAAAAAAAGAAAACGTACTTCACAGTAAGAAGTCAGAAGCAGCAAGTCAAGCCAAGTCCATCCGTCAAGAGAGAGACATGCGAGAAATGGAAATCGTCCTCTCGATCCATGATTTGCATCTGGATATTCTGGCCTCAGGCGGCAAAGACAGGGTAGCGAATATAACAAAAGCGGTAATCAGACATTCCCCAAATAGGATAGGCTCTGTTACCGTATAGCCGTATGGAAACGGGAAAGATACCAGCTGGACTTCATTCCATCCACTTCTTGCCCGCAAACGGTGATGTAACGACTTTCGACGACCTCGGAAGAAGGGAAACTTTCCTGCCTTTCCACTTTTCCAATATCCCCAAACTCAATACCCATCTTTTCTCTCTTGGATTAAGACAACCTTTCCTAGCTAGCACCTTACCTTATTATTACTTCTACCTTTGTACTGTACTTCTAACTGGTAATACTCATATAAAAAAGCTTATAGTTATACTCCATAGAGGAAGGTCGAAATGTAATATAACACTGCTTATTCCCAATGGCACGTTTGTTCTTGATTTTCGCTATTGACGACTTAGTCTGTATAAAGCTCCTACTTACACACACAAGTGAAGCTCAGCTCCACCATCTTATTCTACTGCAGGAGATGGAAGTTTCGATTAGAAACAACAAAGAAAAAAGAAATAAAAAAGGGCTGGACAAAAGGAAACATTGCATGGCATATTCATTCAGAGAGAAAAAGAAACACGATAATATTATTAAGTAAGAATATTAAATTGCGCACGCCATCGGGGTTTGAAGGTCCAAGAAAAGTCCCTTCGGATGGCAAAACCCCAAGGGTAAGACAGAGAAGAAGGTATAGATAGGTATGGGTAAGGGTATGGGGCGGTAAATTCATGACCACATCATCCTTGATCTTACAGGGGAAATTGAACGGACGGAGTCGCCCGGGTTGCTTAGCTCAACCATATCAGGCTTTATCCTCACGTCGTGGCATATCTTGCCCACAACAAACGACTCCGTCCCATTCACATTGGCATTAGCAAAAGTCTATCAGAGTGGGCAGATGGCAATAAGAACATCCGAAGAACTCGCTGAGACTCTACGGAGTAGCCGAGTCTCTGATCTCCGAATGGGATGTTGGGAGGGTTCTGAAGGAGGGAGGCAGGTATGATACGCATTCCTGAGTGTGACACGTCAACCATGGTCCGGAACCGACCACAAAATATCTCAAATCAGAGGGGTATAAGGGCACACAGACCAAACACAATGAGAATAATAATATAGTGTACCATAATACCAATCCATGGGAAACTCCACCGGGCAGGCCGTCTCCCTAATTACACTAGATACTATCCATCCCTTGGGCTGGTAACAGCAACTGGCTAGGGAATAATGGCTACCGTCGTCCTCGCTAGCCTAGTCTAGGGAAATCATGCAATGCTCACTTCCCTAGCCCGATCATGCCCAGTTCAGATCACATGCGCCCACCAGCTTACGGGTCGAGCTTTTCCGGACTTCGGGGACCCAGTCTGTACGGTCCGCAGGAATGCGGGTGAAAATGGGATAGTCTGTCTGTCTGGGCTGGGTGGGATGGGGAGGAACACCCCTCTCTCCCCGAGGCTATCGATGGCTATCCCTTGTGCTTCCTCGTCGTCGCCCCGAGTATGCATTCATATTGTTGTGGCTCATATTGCCGAGCAGATGTCAAGCACGATTGTCAATCAGCTGCAGCGTCGTCTGCAGTACTTATGTCAGGCTGTAGTGCCACAGTACTTTGCACCCGGCTAATTAGACGTTCGATGATCCCATCCTGTAGAGATTCTAGATCCGCTAGGTTTTCTTTTTTTTCTTGGCCCTCTTTTGTTCCTTTTCCGCGTCGTCTCCTTTGTCCGCTTTGCTCCGTACTGATCCCTGGCAAGTGTCATGCAATTTCCAAATGGGGTTGTTGATGGGGACACGGCAACCCCTTCATTGCCAGCCATCATTGCCATGAGTGGTTGAGCCTCACTCGACCGCTGTCCAAACTAAGTAGATCGAGCTTTATCACTGCATCAACAGGCGAGCAAGATGGTGTTGACAGGTTGACAACAGTAGCCATGAAGAGCAAGCACATGGCTCAAAAATCCCCTGCAGGTCATCGGGCGCAGCAAGCAAAAGAAAAGAGTACATACATACTCCGTAGATGCTAGGTAGTCGAATCCCGAGCAGCGCTCAGTATTCTGGAATGTCATGTGACTAGGGGTATTCCTGCTGAAGCAACAGCTGATCGATCGACCAAAACCGCGTAGATCTTGAACGCCAAACTGATCTAGATCGCAAGCATTTCCATCCGCGCAGTTCTTGCAGAAACGCCTCTTTTCATCAATATCTACTTAATTCAGATGGTATGCGTCACTAGCCCATACTGTACCGAACTCGATCATCTCAATAACTAGAGAACGAGCCTTGTTTATCTACTGCAATGGACGATGCAGAGGTTGATCATACTAAACCAATCCCGGCCTACTACTGCTGTTATCTGCTGCGTTCAACCAAGCAGCGCACTTCCCTGTATATTGGCTCCACTCCACATCCTGCCAGGCGACTTGCGCAGCACAATGGAGATTCCAAAGGCGGTGCTCGCAAAACAGCCAAGGACGATAAAAGACCGTGGGAAATGGTCTTGCTCGTCGAGGGCTTTACGAGTCGCGTGGCTGCGTTGCAATTCGAGTAAGCAGCTATGAATACACCATCGCACTCTTGTTACACTGCAGATTCTAATAGCATCGTAGGTGGGCGTGGCAGAACCCAAAGATGTCTTCGCAGCACCCGGCGAATCGCCACCAGATCGACTTAGAGACTGGCGAAGCGACAGGCACCTCAGGGGTTCAACCCAGTACCGAAACCGGCAAGGCTAAGCATCGAGGTCGTGGTTCCCGGAGATCCTTGAAGGCCCATTTAGAAGACTTGCATCTTTTCTTACGTTCGACCTATTTTTCGAAATGGCCGCTAAGATTACGATTCTTCAACAGAGACGTCTACCAGCTGTGGACGACATGGTGCGACCGCGTTGATGCCTTGCTTCCCGATCATGTCCGGACCATTTTGGATGGGGACTGTCCTGAGGACCATCTGTCATGGACCGACGAGCCAAGAGTCCGAAGCGTTGAACATATCAAGGTCGACTACAGTCATATCTATGACTACGTAGAGAAGGCCCATTTCTTGCTGGATGATCCCAGAGATTTGCGTTGCAAAGTATGCCATGAAAAGGTTGTTCCCAGTGAAGAACTAGCTGTAGTTTGCCCCCGGGCGAGCTGCTACTGCATCAGCCATCTATTATGTCTGTCAGCCAGATTTCTGGAGTACGCTGAGGAGCCAGAGCAGCTCGTTCCGATTGATGGAAATTGTCCTCTATGTAATCAGGTCATCCAATGGTCGACAATGATGCAGGAACTGAGCCTCAGAACTCGAGGACCAAGTGAGTCACGTGCCATTTTGCGAAAGGCAAAACGAGGCCGTGCAAAGGCGCCTGATCCTATCCATGAAACAAGCGCCGTTGACAAAGTAGCCAGCGCGTTCGAAAACCCAGGCAGCCGAGCCGCATGCGTCGAGAGTGCGTCAGTTGGCGTCAGCGACGGTCTTGATGTGGACCATCATGACGACGCTAGTTTGGATGAAAATTGGGCGGAGTCGTTAGATCTGGATCCGAATTTCGATGAACTCTTGGACCGCCCAAAGGACCATAAGATGGAGTCGTCTAGGGTGGAGATCATCATAGACGACAGTGACTGCGAAGAGATGGAGGAGCTGGGATGAGTCTCTTGTTTGCTTCGCAGTGTTTCTCGCTATTCCTCCTTGGGAGGAAGTTAAGCTGCAATTGACACGAATCGCTTCAATGGCCCAATGGCGTCCAAGCGAGCTATGCAGTCCACCACGCTCTTCTCGATGTCCACCGAAACAGCTTCAAATGACCTGCCAGCATCGATCACGCGAATGTCACCGCTGCGTTGGACACGGAAGATGGTTTGGAACAGTTCCCGCACCCGGGTTTGCATAGTCTCATTCTCATAGCGTTCGGCACCGAAGCCACCGCGCTTGGCCGCTTCGTCCGGGGCGATACTCAGGAAAACACACAGGTCAGGCTGGGGCAGCCCGATCTCCGGGGTCCAAGCCCACTCCAGGGACAAGGTGGGATTGGCCTTGGCAGCCGAGTACACGGCACCTGAATAGGAATAGCGGTCCACGATGACAGTGATGCCCGCTGCTATATCCTCCTCAATAGTCTGAGCAATTTCCCAGCGATTGGCAGAGAAGAGGAGATGGATGGAATGATCGTCCAACTGTGACTGGCCACGTAGATAGCTATCGATGAGCTTTCCAATGGGAGTGGTCCGGTCTGCGGAAGTGTGGATTAGAGCGGTGCTCACGAGGACAACTAAAACAGGAAGGGGAGCTACCTGGGAAGCGAATGTACTTGACCGAATGGCCTAATTCTTGTAGTTTCTGGTGTAGAGATTCGCACTGACTGGACTTGCCCGCGCGGTCCAGCCCCTCAACCACAATGAGAGCCCCGCGTCGCGCGGCAGGAGCTTGTGCAGCCATGTTGTGCAGTGTGCAGGGGGGGTCAATTGACAACCGGAGAGTTTCACAGAGTGAAAATGATAATGAAGAGCCTCAGGGAAACTCAATTTTCTATCCGTAACTCACCACAGATAAGGAAGAGGAGCAGAGGTGTGCCATGAAAGAGAGATGAAAGTGGCTTGACGCGCGGGTCGCGACGAGCAGGAGGGGATCTTGCCCGTTTGGGAATGGCGTCCATCGTGACTCTATCTGCTCCATTCTGGGATTGTCAGTTGGCGATACATCTTCTGTCTGTAATGTAATCCAGAACAGCAATATTTCTCGTTTACAATACAATAAATACTAGACACATTTCTTCATCAACCGTTCTGAAAATTTCGAGACAGCTCTAGCCAGACATTGGTGAATACATCCAATACTATCGAACCCACCATCTAATATCGATACCAACGACTAGTGGGGAAGCACATTTTCATCGGCACGCGCCGCGCTCATCTTCTCCAACAACGGCCGGATTCTCTCTCTCCTCTCTCCACCATCCCCATCCCTTCGTCAACCCTCCACTCCTCAGGGTCGCCATGGGCTCAGAGTCTTCCCCACAACCATCGAATGAGATGCTCACCTTCAATGCTACGGCCTCCGTCCTGACTCCCCGACTGGGAAGACTGGCCTTTGCCGGCAGAAAACCCATTTCCACCCCACATTACATCCCTCTGGCCTCCCGAGGCGTCGTTCCGCATATTGCCCATGATGTGCTGCGTGATCACACAGACATCGGCAGTTTATATGTCGGTCTCGAAGATTGTATGCCCTCCTCTCCTTGTTCGGAGATCGAATCCGCGCTGACACGAATGCCCATCGGGGCCCAGATCAGTCGTAGAAAGACAAAGCCAAAAACATCCGCCTCCGGTCTATACCATTCCCACTGCACACGATGAATCGGCCCTGCGCAAATTCGTCGCTCTCCCCGATGATCTCCTCTTGATCATGGGCGCACGTCGGGAGCCCCCGATCAAATGCCCCCCAGCCAATACCCCCAACTCCGTCGCCATCTACACCTCCGTCGGCTTCAGACAGCTTGAAGCTACCCAATACGTCGACGCCGTGCAGAAGCTCAACCCGGACATCGTCATCGGACTGGCAGATCTCGTGCTGGGACACACCCCTGGCAACAAGAGACGCGGCAAGATGGTGGATCGCACCCACGCCTTCACTACACATGCCACAGGACTACTTTACGGCAACACAGTGCCAGAGAACACCCGGTCAAAGTCAGCCTACTTCGCTCCCGTCCTCCCTCTCGAAAACGCCCAGCAGTCAATCTACATGGACGACCTCGAGACCGAGCTCCGACCCTTCATCTCCGGCCTGGCCCTCTACGAATCGGCATCTCTATCAGCCATCTCCGAACCGCTCGGAGACCTCCCCCGCCTCCTCTACAGCGCACCGGCAACTCCACACGACATCCTCCGCGACGTTTCCCTCGGAGCAGATCTCCTCACCATCCCTTTCATGGGCGTCTGCTCTGACGCCGGCATCGCCCTGGACTTCACCTTCCCATCACCCAACACCCCCACGACCATCACCCAACCCCATGACCTCGCCTTCGACCTCTGGTCCCCATCCCACACAATCGACACCTCCGCACTCTCCAATTCCTGCGAATGCTACACCTGCCGCAACCACCACCGCGCATACATCCACCACCTCCTAACCGCCAAGGAAATGCTCGCCTGGACCCTCCTCCAAATCCACAACCACCACGTAATGGATACCTTCTTCGCCGCCATCCGCGAAAGCATCTCCCGGGGTACCTTCGAAGCCGACACCCAGACCTTCCAACGGACCTATGTCTCCGAATTACCCAAACCTACCGGCCAAGGTCCACGGTATGTTTTACACACCCTCTATCTATCCCCTCAATTCCTCATAACCACACCCACAACAACAACTAAACAATAGACTGATATATTTATAGTCTCCGCGGCTACCAACTCCCCGCCTCCGGCCCGAACCAACCGCGCCGTAATGCCCGCGCATACGGTAAACTCGACGACGCAGTGGAGAAGTTCGCCGAGTCGCAGTCTTCTCTCGCAACGCCGGATACAGGCGCCGAGGGACTCGAGGAACATGGATTCGGGATGAAGGAGGTGCCGTAGTTTCTTTTGATTCATTCATAGATGTCTACATGCATGTGGATGCATTTTACAAATAGATAGTAGTTATGACATAGCATAGCGTGGATTCGTGGATGGATGGATAGATTATATATAGTAAACGAAGAGTCTATTCCAAAGATTACTGGATTTGTAATATTTGATTTAAGAGGTATGAAATTGCAGATTCTATTTTT